TCGTTCTGTCACGTTTGATCCCATTTTGTCCGGTCCAGTACCATCTGCTTCATTTATCCTAGTCACGTCCCTTGTCACCCCATCATGTCCCTAGGTGTCAGGTTCTATCCAGTCCCGATAGAGCTATGTCCAGTCTCACCTGGTCCCAGGTCCCATCTGGCTGCACCTGACCCAATCAGGTCTCATCCTGCTTCATCCTGCACCACCCAATCCTGTACTGTCCCATCTGGTCCCATATAGTCCAGCTGACCTCATCACATTTCATCCCCCTCCACATGACCCAGCACCCTGGCCATATGCACGTTCTGTCTGTACCTGTCCAGTACCACCCAGCTCCATTGTTTGGGTCATGTCTGGTGCATTGGTTGGGTCATCGAGGGACCGGACGGTCCCTCGACCTCGTCCAGTCCTATCTTATCTCCACAGGCTGACCATCATCTGATGTGACATCATCATGCAACCAGCTGGAAGAATCAGCAGCCCTCACTCTCTTTGCATAACCAGTTGACACCCACACCACAAATTAATGGGTCAGTTGATGTAAGCTGGGCAGGTGAGATGTAAGGAAAATCCTATTTATTTCATAATCTGGCATATAAGAGTTAGAGGAACATGTTTCAAGCATTTAAAAATGTCTGGGGCATCTGCTGTTGTTGATATCAAATGGTTTGTAAGCATAATTGAATTGATTCAGATTGTTTTAATCAGTGTGAGCCCTACGCCAACAACACCCACAAGGCTGCAAAGCTGGTTGGCATCCCTACCAAAACGCTTTAAATGGAACTTACCCACCATATTGCCGCATCGGACGTGCACGGTCGGTTTCACAGCAGTGTCTATATGAATCACCTTGGAGAAATTTAGCAAAATGATGAAAACCAAATATCCCCCCATTAAGACATGCAAAAAAATAACTGGTGAAAAGCTTGAGTAGTATGATGGCAGCACCACTAATCCTTCCCATATTAAGGCATATGGAATTCCCAGTGTCATGAACCACGACAATGCCCTTTCCTGCCATCGAGATGGGGATGGTCTCATGGCAACTCAAGATCGAAATGTCGTACGGTATTCCCCCAGTGACGGTCACCTACTTTTTATAGCGCCGAAAACGGGCCCATGGTAAAAATTTGTTGAAGACACAAACCATAAATCAAAGGAATCGTTTCAATAGCAAAAAGACCGCCGATTCCACCGCAGCCCCCACTCCAACCTAAACCAGGCTCCCGCCATAGCACTTCTCCCGCCCCAAGACCGGTGCAGGCAAGGCGACAGGGTCCGGCGAGCGCCAAGGAGATGTAAAGAGGGGATTCTCGCTTCTTCTTCGCTTACCATCAGCGTGACGTCACTGTTGCCGAGACACAACAATGCGCGACGAGTCGCATGATGCCGGGGGGCAAACGGGGGGTGGGGGGGGGGGGGCGCAACGCTGGAGGGGGGGGGGGGAGGGACAAGCGGAGCATCAAAATGTTCGCACATACAATGAAAAGCCCGTTAGCGATATATATTTATTGACAGCAAGCCGATTATATAAAATTTTATGACGAACATGACGATGTACTTGACAAGCCTATGCGGGGTTTTGGAGGCCATTACCGAAAGCAGCAAAACTGTAGGCCGTCATTTTCTCGACCTCTCGACAAGAGGCTCTACACACGCTGACCCTCTTTCGGGACTCATCCTGGATTGTTCGTACCCGGCGTCAAATTAGATGCGAGCTGTATCGAATTTCATCTCAGCCAGCATGCCCAATTAGGACCTGTGTGGGTCCCAGTTGGGCAGTCATATGGGGTCCACCTGGGCGGTCCACTTTGGTCCTATGCGGGTATGTCATGGGCAAAAACCTAGGTCCCATATGAGTGACCCTTGTTGGGCCCATGGGGGCCTAACTGGGGCACACATGGGACCCACCTAACGTTTAAAACCGGGACCTAGGTGGGTCCGAGATGGGCAACCAAATAGTGCCCGCCTGGGTTTGCCACCTCGGGCCCATGCGGGCATGTCATGGGCAACCAGCTGGATTCCACATGAAAGCCCATGTGGGGTCCTTGTGGGGCTTAGCTGGGACACACATGGGACCCACCTGGGCAGCCCAGGTGTGACCTATCATGGCAGCCCAGTTGGGACCCGCCTGGGTAAATAAGCTAGGGCCCACACGGCTGGGACCTGGGACAGTCCAGCTGAGACCCATATAACCAGCCCAGATGAGACCCAGATAGCTATCCCAGATGGGACCTTTTTAACCACCCCAGATGGGCCCCAGTTGGGCTTCAACGATCTGTCATTTCAAATTCAATCTGCTTGCTCGACCGTGGTAATTCCAGGCAGACTGCTTTATGTCATCGAAAATAAGCCAGGTCAAAGCTTGTTCACCAGTTGGTGTCACCGTTGCCGCCGTTGTCAGTGCGATGTTTCCTGCTGTCGTCGCAGTCTCTCCCGCCGGAACCATTTTCCTGGTATCTATTTCGCTTCGTTGCGGGAGACACCGTAGCGCGATGTGTTGCGCAGGAGGGCCCGGAAAATGGTGATATTCAGTACCTTAGATCACTGCACCACGGCCTCAGTGTGGGTAACTATTCATGTACACCGTTTTGTTTATGCCGTTACCCAAAAACAGGTAACCAGGAGTGCTCCTCCCTCAATCCCAGCGACGCAGTAAACCGTACGTTAACACCAGAAAACATAAAATCAAGTCGCGGCACTCCCAGCTAGGAAGATGAAACAAACGTAAAGAAGGAGGCGAAGAGGTGGTGCAGACCCGAAGGAATTGTGTTATGTAATAAGTAGGGGAAAATCATAGATGAGAAGGCTTGAAGTAGTCATTAGCCAAAGTCATCTAATGACAGCCTGCTATAACCGCCCAATACGCCACAGCCACCGTGTTAGTAAGGGCTATACGGTCACACAAGTCGGAGGGGGCAATTACCTGGTCATTTTCGTGCTGGGTTTTGAGCTGGATGTCAGGGGAGTCCACCCAGCTAAGCAGGGCTTGTTGCTGGGAGAACTCCCGGTTTTTGATATTTTGATACTTAAGAACTGATCTTTTGTGGAGTCGTTTACCGAGGTTGACATAATGAGAGCATCTATGTCGAATAACGGCGCAAAAATTCACTACACATGCCCTCTCTCGGAGTACATGTGTGGAAAAACTCAACGAGAGGTTACTTACATGGATACTTCTAGCTGTCTATATGGGAATACGATATTGTCTCGATAGGTCATTTTTTAAGAGCGGCTGCTTTCGGATCCACTCACTCACTAAAGGATAAGTTTGGCTTGTTTTAGGCACTCGCTCTTTGTTCCTGTAATAGATGGCCTGCGGCTGATGGCAGCAAACGCTGTCGTCAATGATTCATAGGTGCACTTGTGCACTTAGGTGCACTTGCACAACTGCCTGAAATAAAAATAAAGCAAGAAATTCCTGTAAAACACTGTCAGTACACTTTCAAAAGGAATTCTGCCACTTCTTTCTTATGTTACGATTCTAAA